CGCCGTATAGCTGTTGTAGTGAGTGTTAACTGGACAGACGCACATGATATCGCTACTGTTGGTAATGCATTGAGACGACTGATTACAGGAACCATCATAGGGCATTAGTGAAGACTGCTCTGAACAAACTGTTTCATTTGCTGACTTGACAAACTGTAGAAAGTATTTGGCTATAGGGTTACAATAATTATTGACTTGCTCTAGCAAAGATGGGACCTTGTTACACACATGATCATTTTGACTTTCTAATTTCAATTTCAGGAGCAAATCACTCCAGCTGATTGCGATTTATAAGAAATTTCATTTATTGTACTTGATTATATAGCATGACACTTTCATTTGTGATAATTTCTGCCTATTTTACTCTTATTAACTTGTAAAGTAATTTGTGACCATTGCTGTCTTTGTTGCCTTTAATACGTCGTAGAGTATTGTGACAAATTTGCTTTACTTTTAATACGTCGTAGGGAAAGTGAAAATTGCTTTCTATGTTACTCACATTATGTGGAATAGTATAATTACACGTGTCTCAACTTACCTACATAATACATTGGTTTTCTTAGATATTGTGATAGGCCTGAACTAAAAGTATATTTTTCGATTAGGATGTTCACTATTTCTCCGTAACTTTGTAATGTCGTACATTATTTCTTTTCTCTCTACTGGGTCCTTATGTCTATGATGTTTGTTTAAAAAACAACAACTCTAAAATAAATGTTAACCACTGTAATGTTTGACCTTATGCGTCAACAAGAAAAATTTAGGGACCAAATGCTTCGTTGATTTCTCCTGCTAATTAGATAAACATTAAGTTGCACAAGATTTCTTTCAAAAAATCAGCCAACTAATGAAAATGTCTGTTGCGAGTGGCAGACTATTTTTCAAAATAACTTTGTTTTTCTTTTTACAAAATAATTTTAAAAATCATTCATTGACGCCTACACATTTTTTCTTCAAAATATGGATTGAAATTTGAGATACCTCTGATAGTTTTAAATCTTTTGCTCCAATAGACGACATGTGACTATTTACCCCTAACACCATTTAGGATAGCATATCTTTGAAATTTAAAAATGGAGCATAGCGAATAACGTATGTATATGTGATTTCTGACAAGAAAAAATACACTATGGTTCGATTAAAAATACTCGGCCTGCTTCTTAGTTGCTCTAGATCAGTGGTTCTCAACCTTCCTAGTGCCGCGACCATTTAATAAAGTTCCTCATATTGTGG